GGAATGAGGTGGCCTCCCACCCCCTTCCGCGAGCCCCCGCCAACCCCCCGTGGCGGTCTCCCGCGTCCGCGCGCCGCGCCCCTCGCCGGCCGACCTGGCGGCGGGGAGAGGGGAGGCACAGGGAACCAAGCAGTGGGAACACAAGAACCATGACCTGCAGGCGCACCCCTCAATCCCAGAGCACCTCCTCGAGCGCCAGACGACGACCGCAAGAGGCCCAAGGAACATCGAGTACAGCACGGGGGAGGCGTGCTGCGAGGGGGGGGCACAGGGAGCCAGGAGGGGGAGGGGGGGGGAGGCACAGGGAACCAGGCAATGCCAAGGGGGATCACCACTCAAGGGGTCGCCAACTCCTTGAGAGATCCCCTCCGGACCCACGACCCCCCCCCCCACAAGGCCCCAGAACACCCACCCTCGTCTGAAAAAGCTCCTCAATCCCCAGGGGAGAGGCACAGAGTGAGGCGACACCATCGGGTGCGCCGAAGAGGGAGGCCAGGAAGAGGGGGGTCAGCGCACCGTGGCCCGAGGCACATGCGCGGACAAGGGGGGGCAGCGACGTATTGAAACAAAAGAAGAAGGCGAAGAAGAAGAAGAAGAAGAAGGAGAAGAAGAAGACGCCATGAAGTCTGGGAGACTTAAGGCCCAGCCATGATATCTACATGTATGTATGTATATATGTATGTATGTATGTATGTATGTATGTGTGTATGTATGTATGGATGTATGTATGTATGTATGTATGTATGTTTGTGTGTATGTATGTATGTATGTATGTATGTATGGTTGTATGTATGTATGTATTTGTGTATGTGTGTATGTATGTATGTATGTATGTATGTATGTATGTATGTATGTATGTATGTATGTATGTATATATGTATGTATGTATGTATGTTTGTATGTATGTGTGTATGTATGTATGTATGTATGTATGTATGTATGTGTGTATGTATGTGTATGTATGTATGTATGTACGTACGTACGCACGTATGTATGTATGTATGTATGTATGTATGTATGCATGTATGTGTGTGTATGTATGTATGTATATGCATATATATGGATGTATGTATGTAGGTGTGTATGTATGTGTGTGTATGTCTGTATGTATGTATGTATGTATGTATGTATGTATGTATGTATGTATGTGTGTATGTATGTATGTATAAATATGTATGTATGTATGTATGTATGCATGTATGTATGTATGTATGTATGTATGTATGTATGTATGTATGTGTGTGTGTGTGCTTGTATGTCTGTCTGTCTGTCTGTCTGTCTGTCTGTCTGTCTGTCTGTCTGTCTGTCTGTATGTATGTATGTATGTATGTATGTATGTATGTATGTATGTATGTGTATATGTATATGCACACCATAATCATCACCCCTCTTGGGCGCTCCAGACACAGGGGAAGGCAACACCACCACCACCACCACCATCGCGAGGAGCTGGCGAATGTCCTCCGGGTGGTGCTGTCAAAACCGCGACATCTGCGGTCTCCAGCTCGGGGGGGGCATTCGTAGACTTCCTCGCTGGAGGCGGCCCGCTGGTGCCCTGTTGCTGCTTCCCCTCCCTCCGAGTGGACGGGCAGGATTGGCGGCTCGCCAAAACGGGGGTGGCACGAGGGCGGCGGCCTTCGAAGAAGACAGCGGGCTTCAAAAAAAGCATGGTGCTTCTCAAAGCTCTCCTGGCTTGTGAGAGGCATTGCCATAAGCCAGCGGGTCCTTCTGAGAAGGCCCCTGCCTTCCAAGAGGCCCGCCTGTGTCTTCCGAGAAGCCGCCCCCCTCGCGCCACCCGCGTACGCCGCAACGCCAGTAGGAGAAAGAGAGACAGAGGGAGGGACAGAAAAAGGATCCGACTTCGAGGATCAAGGCTGTTTGGTCTCTGGGTGGCTCCTCCTCCTCCTCCTCCTCCTCCTCCTCCTCCTCCTCCTCCTCCTCCTCCTCCTCCTCCTCCTCCTCCTCCTCCTCCTCCTCTGGCACGCCCCCCGGGACAGGTCCAGGAGGGGCTGAGCCCTAGGTCGGAACGACCCCCGGGACAGGTCCAGGGGTAGATGTTGTACTTCCTCTGGGCCCAGACGCCCTCGGGCCGTGGAGGTGTCCTGGCGGCAGGACCCAGCGGATGTGCAGCTCCGAGCAGCGCGAGGCAGGGAGAGACGAAGGAGCGGGGCCACCAAGAGGACTGCGGCGTGTATGGGGGAGAGACAAGTGAGCGTTTCTTGTTTGCATTCGGCGTTTCGACATTGGGCGGGAAGGGGGGGGGAGGGGGGGGGGATCTGGCTCCGGACCTCTGCTCAGTGCGACTGTCTGCAAGAGTGCTGCCTCTGGGGGAGGGGCTCCATCCGCTCGAAACAGGCGCAAGAAGACAGCCAAGATCTACTCCATTGGGGGGGGAGAGGGGAGGGGCGAGGGCCCGCGCCGATCGGCAAAACAATGAATAAAAAAACGACCACCAAACAGACCTGGGCTCGAGGGGGGTGGTTCGTTCGGCGAGAGCCCCGTGCGCCGCCGTCTCGTGCCCATTTCCTCACCAGCTCGCTCACCCCTCTCCTCGTCGTTCGTGGTTGGACGAGCGCGCTCCACTACTCGCAAATCAACTACTCGCGCAAATGGCCTGGATCCGCCGCGGGGGGATACTATATTTAGGTCGGGCATCTTACAAATAAAAAATCCAGAAATGGGAAAAAAAACAGAATCAACAAATCGTCCCCAGACTATTTTTTCCCCACATGCTTCGTGGGGTTCTGGTTTTCTTCCCTGCCGCGCCGCGCCCGCGTCTCCCCCACACCCGCCCTCCTCCCCTCCTCCTCCTCCTCCTCCTCCTCCTCCTCCTCCTCCTCCTCCTCCTCCTCCTCCTCCTCCTCCTCCTCCTCCTCCTCCTCCTCCTCCTCCTCCTCAGCACAGCGCAGCACAGCACAGCAGACCGCAGCACAGCATAGGACAGCACAGCACAGCTCAGCAGAGCACAGCACAGCACGTCTCGGCGACACGCGTCTACATACAGCCGCACGCATGCACACACTCGCACACACAAGACGACACCAGTCCTGGCATAGCAGGCGTGGCACTTTCTCGACACCATAGGGGGTGCGCAGGGGGTGGTCTCTCGCTGCGGTCTCTATACGCCCCAGTCGTCCTGCTATAGCAGGCGTGGCCCCAGTCGTCTTGGCATAGCAGGCGTGGCACTTTCTCGACACCATAGGGGGTGCGCAGGGGGTGGTTTGTCGCTGCGGTCTCTATACGCGCCGGTCGTCCAGGCATAGCAGGCGTGGCACTTTCTCGACACCATAGGGGGTGCGCAGGGGGTGGTCTCTCGCCTCGGTCTCTATACGCGCCGGTCGTCCAGGCATAGCAGGCGTGGCACTTTCTCGACACCATAGGGGGTGCGCAGGGGGTGGTCCCTGAGCGCGGCCGCTATACGTGCCGGTCGTCCAGGCATAGCAGGCGTGGTACTTTCTCGACACCATAGGGGTGCGCAGGGGGTGGTCTCTCGCTGCGGTCTCTATACGCGCCGGTCGTCCAGGCATAGCAGGCGTGGCACTTTCTCGACACCATAAGGGGTGCGCAGGGGGTGGTCTCTCGCTGCGGTCTCTATACGTGCCGGTCGTCCAGGCATAGCAGGCGTGGCACTTTCTCGACACCATAGGGGGTGCGCAGGGGGTGGTCTCTCGCTGCGGTCTCTATACGCGCCGGTCGTCCAGGCATAGGAAGCGTGGCACTTTCTCGACACCATAGGGGGTGCGCAGGGGGTGGTCTCTCGCTGCGGTCTCTATACGCGCCGGTCGTCCAGGCATAGCAGGCGGTACTTTTCATCGACACCATAGGGGGTGCGCGTGGGTGGTCTCTCGCTGCGGTCCGCTTACGCGCCGGCCGTGCCAGGCATAGCAGGCGTGGCACTTTCTCGACACCATAGGGGGTGCGCAGGGGTGGTCTCGTCGCTGCGGTCTCTATACGCGCCAGGTCAGTCCTGGCAATCGCATCGTGGCACTTCTCGACACCATTTAGGGTGCGCGCAACAAAAAGGGTGGGTCTCTCTCGCTGCGTCTCTATACGCGGCCTGTCGTCCCCCAGTCATACTACTAAATGAAGGGATTTATTATTGTATTATTTACATTACGGATTATTAACAGCGTGCATTTCTCGACACCATAGGGTGTTGTTTTTTTGTGCGCAGGGTGGCGGGGCTCGCTGCGGTTCTCTATACGCGCCGGTCGTCCTGGCATAGCAGGCGTGGCACTTTCTCGACACCATAAAGGGGTGCGCAGGGGGTGGTTTCTCGCTGCGGTCTCTATACGCGCCGGTCGTCCAAGCATAGCAGCCGTGGCACTTTCTCGACACCATAGGGGGTGCGCAGGGGGTGGTCTCTCGCTGCGGTCTCTAGGGGGTGCGCAGGGGGTGGTCCCTGAGCGCGGCTGCTATACGCGCCGGTCGTCCAGGCATAGCAGGCGTGGCACTTTCTCGACACCAGAGGGGGTGCGCAAGAGGTGGTCCCTGAGCGCGCGGCTGCTATACGCGCCGGTCATCCAGGCATAGCAGGCGTGGCACTTTCTCGACACCAGAGGGGGTGCGCAGGGGGTGGTCCCTGAGCGCGGCCGCTATGCACGACGGTCGTCCAGCGCAGGCGTGGCGTAGCAGGCGTGGCACTTTCTCGACACCAGAGGGGGTGCGCAAGAGGTGGTCCCTGAGCGCGCGGCTGCTATACGCGCCGGTCATCCAGGCATAGCAGGCGTGGCACTTTCTCGACACCAGAGGGGGTGCGCAGGGGGTGGTCCCTGAGCGCGGCCGCTATGCACGACGGTCGTCCAGGCACAGCAGGCGTGGCACTTTCTCGACACCAGAGGGGGGCGCAGGAGGTGGTCCCTGAGCTCGGCCGCTATGCGCGACGGTCGTCCAGGCACAGCAGGCGTGGCACTTTCTCGACACCAGAGGGGGGCGCAGGGGGTGGTCCCTGAGCGCGGCGCTATACGCGCCGGTCGTCCAGGCATAGCAGGCGTGGCACTTTCTCGACACCAGAGGGGGTGCGCAGGGGGTGGTCCCTGAGCGCGGCCGCTATGCACGACGGTCGTCCAGGCACAGCAGGCGTGGCACTTTCTCGACACCAGAGGGGGGCGCAGGAGGTGGTCCCTGAGCTCGGCCGCTATGCACGATGGTCCTCCTCCCTTCTCTCCTCTTCTTCCTCCTCCTCCTCCTTGCCATCTACCTCCTCTCCAGGAGTTGTGAGGAGGAGGATTTGAGAGGAGTGCGGAGGTGTTCAGAGGAGCGCGGAGGAGTTGAGAGGAGTGCGGAGGAGTGCAGAAGGAGGAGTACAGAAGGATATGAGAGGATGAGTTGAGAGGAGTGCGGAGGAGTTGAGGGAAGTGCGGAGGAATTGAGAGGAGTGCGGAGGAGTTGACAGGATGGGGTGGGACGAGGAGGAGGAGGACGAGGAGGAGGAGGAGGAGGACGACGACGACCACGAGTGCGGCGACGAATACAACGAGCACTACCAACACAACGAGTACGACGACGTCGAGTGCGACGACGACGAGTGCGACGACGAGTGCGACGAGCACGACGACGAATGCGAAGACGAGTACGACGGCGAGGTACGACGACGAGTACGATGACGAGTAAGACGATAGAGCGGCAACGAGTACGACGACGAGTACGACGAGTACGACAACGAGTACGACAAGTACGACGACGATTCGCGACGAGGGTTTAGAACGCAGCATTGCGCATAGATGATAATGACAAGCAAACACATAAGATTAAAAATCAGTATGTGGGGTTCCTCGGTAGCGTAATTACTATTTTTGAATTGTCCCCCTGTAGAAGGACACGCCCGACTCAAGACTATATATCTTACAAAGAGGAAGACCTACTTTTTGTCAACTGACGTTTGCGAGTGGGCCCCTTGCGAGTAGTGCAGCGCGCTCGGCGAGCAGTGGTCCGCGGCGGTCGTGCCCGCCTGGCGCGCGGCGGCCCGAGCCCTGGGGCGGCGGGGGGCGCGGGCGCAGCCGCCGGGGCCCCCTGGCGGAGCTCCCGCCGCGGGGCCACGAAGCCGCTTCGAGGGGTGTGCCGAAGTGGGCGGCGGGGACGCACGCGGACCGCTGGCGCCTGCTGTTTCTCACCTCCAGTGCGCTGCTCTGGTGGTCACCTTGGTGTGCTGCTGTTCGTCAGGGCACGGCTCGGGTCGAGCTCCGCTCGTCCTGCTGGGCACGGAGTCGCCTCCGGTCGCCCTGGGCGAAACTTCCAGGCGCTGGTTGAAGCTGTTGATGCTGAACGTGGACGCAGCCACTGGGGCATTCCGTAGAACTCCCCGCGGGTGCGCCGAAGTGGGCACGGCGACGCCACGCCGCAGGGAGGAGTCGGTTCGCGCGCGGCGCTGAGGGGCGCCGTGGGGGGCCGGAGAGGAGGGAGCATGACGTGACTCCCCCCCTCCGCCGTGTGGGTCTGGCACCGCACGTCACTGCCGCGGAGCCGGACGCACTGCGGCAGTGCCGGTGACGCACTGGGGGGGCGGAGAGCGTTACGGTATGGGGGGGACGCGGGGTAGAAGGCGCGTTACATTCGGACCTAGGCCGGAAGAGCATCTCTCAAGAACATGAGGCCCTCGGTTGGCCAAAATTTACAGAGCATGCAGGGGTGCCCTGCCCAGGAATCACAAGAACGTCCCACAAACTCGAAGAACATGAGAGCATGCTCCCCGAAACGACCTCGCCCCGACTGTGGCCCAGAATCACACATGCGTTTTTTATAACTAAGGCATACACTTCAAAATTCAATACAAACAATGTCCAGGATGGTTGGAAAAAACACTTCGGATGCTTGTGGTCAGTTTCCGCAGCTGGGGTCCCTCACCAGGCGCCAGGACCATCAAAACACAACTCGGGATGGCAGCTCGGTCCCCGGATAAGGAATTCGAAACCTCTCGGGAGGGAGGGGGGCGGGAGGCAGGAGGGGCACAGCGTCCGGATCGGCCCAGGTCCGAATACTACCCAGGTCCAGGCAGGGAGGCAGGAGGGGGGGATGGTGGACGGAAGGAGGGGGGACCAGCAGTGGGAGGGAGGAGAGGGTCGGAAGAGGGAGGAAAGGGGAGGCTAGAGGAGGGAGGCTAGAGGAGAGAGGAGGGAGGAGATACGGAAGGGAGGGAGACGAGAGCGTCTTCCTAATCCTCCCCCCATCATCCTCCTCATCGTCCCCCCATACCCATTGCCTCTGTCTTTCTCTCTCGCACTCACCGTCATCCTTACCTCACGTCACCCTCAACTTCCTTCTCGCTATGTCTCCTCCCATCCCCCTTTGCGACTCCACTTCAGAGTGCTGCAGCGATGAAATGTGAACAACCTGGGCCCCTTCCGGATATCAACCTGAAAAGCAAACATTCGCTGCATGACGGCTCTATCGGGCGTCATTGGCAAGAAGAAGTGAAGCCACGATTAGACGAGCAGGCTCAGGTGGGGCACACAGCTCGTAGCCCTGGGAAAAAAAACTGTCAGGCATGCACCTGTGCTGTCACACTCGAGGAAGCCGAGATGAACGGTGAAGGTGTAATCCAAGGGTGAGATCCACGCTGAAAGGCGCAGTCAACATGCAGCAGCAATGCAGAAATATGGGGGCTGACCAACGAGAAATCGCGAGGTGAGGCTGGGAAAAGAAAAAACAATACAAAAGGACAGCATTGCGTGGCTCGTGATGGCAAGAGAAGAAACCTACCACAAAGGAATAAGGCGATGTGGACCCGTCACCAACCAGGACAAAATCCACATTCTCGTCGCGGGATGACACCCTGGCCCCAGGCAACCCGGCCAATACTGCAGTGACGGTTCGCTGCCGCTGAGCAACTGCACCCTGAGCAACTGCCTCCTACCAGGGACTTCGTGCTGATCCCGCGCGGCAATTCACGACACTGAATATGATCCGTAGCTGCAAGATCTGTCAACATTGAATCGGGAAATCGCGACGACTCTGAATGAACGTCGGATCGGGCCGCATCGGCACGGAGTAAAAATCGAATCGGATCGGCCGCGCCAGCATGCACAACAGCGCCACGCAGGCATCGGTCCGCATCGGACCGTCAGAATAGTTGAATCGAATCGGTCGAAATCGATATCGAATCTGATCGATCGGATCGGAATGGACCCTGTAGCTGCGGCTGGTCTTCGCACCTGCACTACTGCTCCCATCGCCTACCAAGGCCAGCCTGGGGGCTGCCTGTACAACCTCAATCCTCCTCATCCTCATCATCATCCTCCTCCTCATCCTCCCCCTCCTCCTTGTCATCTTCATCATCGTCATCATCATACCCTGTCTCCTTCTCGTCTCACTCCTCCTGCACTTCTTCCTCCTGGCCCTCCTCCTCCTCCCTTTTCCTTCTCTCGTCCTCCTCCTCCTCCTCCTCCTCCTCCTCCTCCTCCTCCCTCCTCCTCCTCCTCCTCCTCCTCCTCCTCCTCCTCCTCCTCCTCCTGCTCCTCCTCCTCCTCCTCCTCCTCCTCCTCCTCCTGCCCTGTCGCCCTGTTGTCCGCTGTTCCTGCTCCTGGGGCGCCCCAGTCCCCTCCTGTTGGCCCTGGCGGCCCCGTCGCTCGGGACGCCTACGCCGTCGGGGTCGGGCTCCTCCTCGCCGTTCTCTCTGGTCAGCCAGCGGAAGACGTCCAGGTACAGGACGCTGGAGATTTTGCTCTGCTGTGGACTCGGACTCGTGTTGGTGGTCTCCAAACCAGGTGGTGAGACACCTGGTGGTGACCCCGATTCCCCCAAAAAATAATTCTGGGTCACCACCGGGTTTGGGGACACGCGGTCGCCACGAGGTTTTGCGTTTCCTGGGCCAGCCAGCGCTCGAAAACCATTACCCAAATCGCCCAAAACTCACCACCGGGTGTTGTCACCACCACGTTTGGGGACCACCAATCTTGAACGCGCCCTTGCTCCAGGTCGGCGGGAGTGATCCGGAGCAGGCCGAATAGAGAGCAAGGGTCAAGGCGAGTGTTAGGTCGGGCCTGTCCCCCTACAGGGGGATTTTGGACGAGAAATGAAAAATATCCCCCAAAAAACACTCAGAAGATGCCCAAAAATACTAAAAAAATAGTCCCCTGACTATCTTTTCACTATTTTTGAATACTCTCCCTGTAGAGGGACAGGCCCGACTTAAAGCGAGTGCAGGGCGTCAGCGCTGCGATCACGGATTGCCTGACAGGGAGCTCGAGACACGCGAACCCCAACCACTGGACTCTGGAGCAGCAGCAGCAGCAGCACTGCGAGGGCGGGGCCTGGCGTTGGAGGCCTGACGCGGCCCCCTGGGCGAAGGGCGGAGGGCGCCGCGGGGGAACCACGGTCGAGAGGCGAGGAGCGAGCAGGAACAGGAGGACGGCGACGAGGATGAAGAGCGGCAGCGGCAGCAGCTGCATGGAGGGGGAAGAAGAGGGCGCGGCAGCGGCCCCGGACCGGAGGGTCCCAGGAGGGGGCTTTTTGGGGAGGGGGGTTTCCAGAGAGCCCCCCAGGGGCCTCGGAACCTCGGCGAGAGAGGGGGCGCGAAGCCCCTGGGGGACCCCCTCCTGGAAGGCCCCCTCCCCAAAGACTTCCTCTGGAGCCCTCCGGCCAGAGGCGAGGCCCAGGAGGGGCCGGGGCGGCCGCGGGCCGCCGGGGGGGCAGACACCGCCGCGGCCAGCAGCCCGCGGCGCTCCACGGGAGGCGAGCGCGTCCGTGCTTCCCTGGCAGGCGAGAGCCGCGGCGCGCGCCTGTGCCCACAGAGGGGTGTCCATGCGCGCAGGCGTGCACCACATAGATTGCGCCACACTGCTTACGCAACATACATTACACAACCGATATTGTACCATGCGTACTGCACCACATAGCTTGCGCCACATATATTTCACTACGTAGCTCACATCACATAGATTGCACCACATGTTTTACACCGCATGTGTTGAACAGCGTAGGTTGCACCACATATGTTGCACCACGTATCCCACACCACATGTATTACACCACACAGATTGCACCACACAAATGTAACAGCATCACTTGCACTACATAGCTTGCACCACATAGGTTACATCACATGTATTGCACCACCTAGGCTACACCACACAGGTTGCAACACATATGTTGCTTACATTGATTGCATCAAAGCGTACACCACATGTATTGCACCACATAGCTTGCACCACATGGGTTGCACCACATATATTGCGCCACGGAGCTCACACCACATGAATTGCACCACATAAGTTACACCACAAATATTGTACAATCAAAATTGCACCACATGTATTGAACCACATAGCTTGCACCACATGGATTGTATCACATAGCTTGCACCACATAGATTGCACCACATCGATTGCCCCACATAGCTTACACCACAAAGATTACAACACCTAGATTGCACCACGCAGCTTGTACCACGCAGATTGTCCAACGTAGATTGCACCTCATAGCATGTCAGAACACAATGTTTGGGTCCACGCTGGCTAACATGTCGATGGATGTACCCCGAAATACATGAATGCACCTCGATGTATCTGGATGTCCCTCGATTTACCTGGTTTGATCCCCCCAGGTCGACCATACAAAAGTCGTTAAGTCCTTGGGGATTCCCCGCACCCACCCACCCGCCCCAACAACAGAAAACACGAATCGCGACGTCGGAGGTCTGGACAACGCAAACTCCACCCAGGGCTGTCCTCCTGTAGTTTGTCGGGAGCGCCACGCCTTCCCGCTCCTTCGCCTTCGCGATGCCCAGGGTGAACACAATCCAGATGATGTGCAGCGCGTATATCACGGGCACCACGCACTTGCCGACGAACTCGGGCAGGGGGGCCCGAGGCACGAGGAGACCCAGACCTTCCGCTGGCTCTTCCAATGCTGGCGCTGCTGCTCTGGTTGAAGGGGCCCTGGGACACACAAATAAATACACACAAATAACAGGATTCCCCATAATTTCCCATACTTTCTGGGTTTTTGCTCTCCCCCCCCCTTCGCATATTTCCCCATATTTTCTCGGGAATCGACGATTCATTGCGTCTGTGTTTGTTTCTTCCCTCCTGAGAGACCCGGACCTTGCGCTGGCTCTTCCAATGCTGGCGCTGCTGCCCTGGTGCTCCCCGTCTGGGGGCAGCTCCACGGCCCCGGGGCCATCGACAGCCGCAAAGACGGCCCGCGCCGGAGCACGAGCTCCAGGGGGGTGGGATCGCGAGCTCCAGGGGGCCACGCACTGACAGTGTCACGGCGTCCAAGGTCTGGGGGCAGGGAAACGAGGGGGAAGAGAAGGAGATGGGAAGCAGGAGGAGCACAGCGAGGAGGCGGGGCGAGACGGAGCCTCGAGCCTGGACGAACCCCTGCTGATCGGTTGCACGAGAAGGCGGCAGAGGCAGACGGGCAACGGAAACCGCTAGCCAGCAGAACGGAGGGACAAGGAAGGATGGAAGGGGGCAGGCGGGGGCGAGGGCAGAAAGGGGGGCATACAGGAAGGAGGAGCGGGTCAGGGCTGGCGTGGAGCACCCTCCGTCCGAGTCGCGGTTGAAATGTTCGCGAACCGAGGCACCTGCACGAGCGCCCGCATTGTCATGTGAGGCCCCGCCGGAGCCCGACAGTCACCAGTTAAACGCGGCCAAGCTGAATGGCCCGATCCTCCTCCTGATTCAATCAGCACTATCAGCATCGGCATCGCCATCACCATCACACGCACCATCATCATCGTAACAAAAATCAGAATCATGGCCATCACCACTATCAACAACAACAGTTGCGACAAACCACAACAGCAGCAACAATAACCATCACAACAACAGCAACAACCACAACAACATCAAGAACAACAGCAACAACAACAACAACAACAACAACAACAACACAAACAACACCAACAACAACAACAACAACAACAACAACAACAGTAGCAACAACAAGAGCAAGAACAACAACCGCAACAACAGCATCAACAACCACAACGACAACACTACCAACAACAACAAACATAATACTACGAACAACAACAACAACAACAACAACCACAACAACAACAACAACAACAACTACTACTACTACTACTACTGCTACTACTACTACTACTACTACTACTACTACTACTACTACTACTACTACTCTTATTACACGTACGGTCACAAGTACAGCAACCATAACAACACCAACCACAACACCTAAAAACAACAACAAGCAAAACGACAACAACAACAACAACAACAACAACAACCACCACAGCAACAACAATAACAACAATAACAACAACAACAGCAGCAGCAACAATAAGAACAACAATAACAACAATAACAATAAGAACAGCAAGAACAACAACTACAACTACTACGACTACAACTACTACAACTACAACTACAACAACAGCAATCATTTTAAGAATGTTCGTTCTTATCTGCTCGAGTATCATTCAACGTGTATTTCCCAGACCCTCGATACCCGCCCTCTTCGTCTTCAATCGTACTCATTTTGGGGGGTAGATCTTTCTTCCCTGCAGACCGGCCCCGGCAAGCGGCGGGGCGGCCGCGGACCGTCGGCCTGGCCAGCGACAGCGCTGATCGGCGACAACCCGACCCCAAGAGGGACAGACAGGGGACCGACCACGACGACGACGACGACGACGACGACGACGACGACGACGACGACGACGACGACGACGGCGACGACGACGACGACGACGAGCGAAAGCGAGAGCGAGAGCGAGAGCGACAGCGGGGCCACGAAGGGCAGGAAGGGGGCCACGAAGGGCGACAGCGGGGCAACGAAGGGCATGCGTATGGGGCCAGGAAGGGGGCGAACGAGCGGGGGCCACGAAGGGCAGATAATTCGGGGCCACAGAGGGCAATGACGGGGCCACTGAGGGGTCCGCAAAGGGCGACAGCGGGGCTACGAAGGACATGCATATGGGGCCACGACGGGCGCGAACGAGCGGGGCCACGAAGGGCATACGTACATTGGGCCGCAGAGAGCAAGGACGGGGCAGCGAAGGGCTGCAACGGGGCCACGAAGGGCAGCGAGGGGGCCACGAAGGGCTGCAACGGGGCCACGAAGCGCATGCATATGGGGCCACGACGGGCGCGAACGCGCGGGGGCCACGAAGGGCATACATATATGGGGCCACCAAGGGCAGCGAGAGGGCCACGAAGGGCAGCGAGGGGGCCACGAAGGGCTGCAACGGGGCCACGAAGGGCTGCAACGGGGCGACGAAGGGCAGCGAGGGGGCCACGAAGGGCTGCAACGGGGCCACGAAGGGCAGCGAGGGGGCCACTAAGGGCTGCAACGGGGCCACGAAGGGCAGCGAAGGGGCCACGGAGGGCAGCGAGGGGGCCACGGAGGGCTGCAACGGGGCCACGAAGGGCTGCAACGGGGCCACGAAGGGCAGCGAGGGGGCCACTAAGGGCTGCAACGGGGCCACGAAGGGCAGCGAGGGGGCCACGGAGGGCAGCAAGGGGGCCACGGAGGGCTGCAACGGGGCCACGAAGGGCTGCAACGGGGCCACGAAGGGCAGCAACGGCTCCACGAAGGGCAGCGAGGGGGCCACGAAGGGCCGCAACGGGTCCACGAAGGGCAGCGAGGGGGCCACGAAGGGCTGCAACGGGTCCACGAAGGTCAGCGAGATCCCGATTCCTACGTAAGCTGTGAGGGAGTCCTAAGCGTGAGCGCGACTCCTGGGTGCCTGAGTGTCGGGAGCGCGGCGCTTGAGTAAATTGCGGGGCATTCCAACGTCGAAGCGCGATTCCCCAATAAGTTGCACGTGAATCTCCAGCGAGAGCGCGACTCCAGAGCGCCGAGGGAGCGATTCCTGAATAAATTGTAAGGACGTCTGAAGCGAGAGCGCGATTCCTGAGTAAAATGCGAGGAAGTCTCAGGCGGGAACGGGGATCCTGGCTAAATTGTGAGGAAATTTCACACGGGAGCCGTTGTTGTTGTAATCCGGGGGCCAACAGCGCAGATTGAGCCGAGTGATGTCCCCCTGATGAAAAAACACAGGGTGCGAGACCCCGGGGAATCACTTCAGCTATAAAAAAACACAATGGTTATCGGAGGGGGATCAACAACAATTCTTAATTCAGCAATAAAGAGTTCAACAACAACAACAACAACAACAACAACAACAACAACGACGACGACGACGACGACGACGACGACGACGACGACGACGACGACAACGACAATGACAACGCCGACGACGACGACGACGACAACAACGACGACGACAACGACAGCGACAACGACAACAACAACAACAACAACAACAACAACAACAACAACGACGCCGACATCAACCCCAACAACAAGTACACATACAATAATAATGATTGCAACAGCATCAACCACAACACCTACAACGACAACAGGAGCAACAACAACGACAACAACAGCAGCAGCAACAACCACAGCAACAACAGCAACTACAAGAACAGCAGCAGCAACAACAGCAATGACAGCAACAATTACAACAACAGCAGCAACCACAACAGCGACAACAGCAACAACAATAGTCAGAAGAACAATAACAAAAACAACAGCAACAATAACAAAAACAACAGCAATAGCAAGAACCATAACAACGACACAGACAACAACAACAACAACAACAACAACAACAGTGACAACAACAGCATCGGCAACAGCAATATCAACAACGGCCACGACAACAACATCAACAACCATAATAATAACAACATCAACCACAACAGCAACAAGGGTAACAACAAAGTAGAGCGACGACATGGCGATGACATCATATGATGCACTCCGATGGGTTCATGGGTTCGTCACACAAGACAGCGCAGGATATCGTGAAGGGTCGCATCAGGAGATCGCTGGCCTATGGCAATATTGTGGCTGAGGAGTTGGCAGGGACAGCAGCGACCGAGCACCGTGTCTCCGTCACGCACCGGCAGAGCTATCACCTCGTTGAGACCAAAGCTTACGTTGTGTGAATATCGTTGAGAACAAAGCTTACCTTGAGGAAATGAGGATCTTTCAAGCTACCGTCGAACCGCTCGAGTATGGAAAGGCTGCTCACCCTGCGGGCCGCAGAGTGAGACGGAAGCGACGGGCCACCGCCGCCCCGCCTGCCCCAGCAGTTTGTGTTTGATGTTCCACTGCACATGTGCTAAACGACAGTGGTCGTAAACACATTACCCCAGTGCGACCCTACCTAGAAGTTGGAGCCCCTAGGAAAACAGCATTAGTTGCTATGCTATGCTATGCCATGCTATGCTGCGCTATGCTATGCTATGCTATGCTATGCTATGCTGCGCTATACTATGCTATGCTATGCTATGCTAAGCTATGCTATGTCATGCTGCGCTGTGCTATGTTAAGCTGTGCTATGCTATGCTACGCTAAGCTGCGCTATGCTATGCTATGCTATGCTATGCTATGCTATGCTATGCTATGCTGCGCTATGCTATGCTATGCTATGATATGCTATGCTATGTTATTATTGGTTATGTTATGCTATGCTATGCTAATGCAGCGCTGCGTTATGCTAAGCTAAGCTAAGCTAAGCTAACCCTCTAGGCAGAGCCTAGGTAGGGAATTACACCAATGTTAATTACCCGAACAGAAAACTAAACTGGCAATGCGGTTGGCACACACGAGCGCCACAAAATGCATCCACAGTTGAAGGTAAGCTAAGCTAAGATAGACCTGAGCTAAGATGAAGCTAAGCTAAGCTAAGATGAAATAAGCTAAGCTAAGATGAGATAAGCAACGCTAAGCTAAGGGGACGTAACTGGGGGAACCGCGGGGCGGATACTGGGGGAACCGCCCGGGGCGCTTCCCACTGCCCGGCCCCTTTAAGCCCAGAGAGTAAGAACCCTTCTAGGCAGAGCCTAGGTAGGGAACTAGATGTCAAAACTCGGCTACTAAGGCTCGTAAGACCTAATCTCAATGGCTGCAGGCTGAATGTTAGAACCTTCTCAATGTAGCTGGCACTTAAATGAGACCAGCCCCATGGGATGCAGGTACATGTTGCGGAGGGGGGGTAGGAACGCTCATTTGACCAATCGTGTAAGGTTCCACGCTTGGCTGGGGGTTTACATATGTGCTCACTGCGGGGCCGGACTGAGAATGTCATCACAAAACCAGGCCGTGAATATCTCCGTCGAATTAGTCAGAGGCTCTGGCCCAACGAGTTCTCAGTAAAGCTGAGCGTTCTCATAGGAAACGCACCCTCAAGTAGGGTTGCCAGATTTTCGCATTCATAAGGCAGAGTCTCCAGAGTCTCCTCCTACCCCTCCCCCTCCTCCTCCTACTCCTCCTCCTCCCCCCCCACCCACCCTCCTCTTCCTCCTCCTCCTCCTCCGATCCTCCGATCATCCTCCGCCTCCTCGTGCTAAACCACCCCAGCCAGCCACAGCCGACTGGGCGCGTGGCCAGCATTCCCGGCTTGGGCGAATTCTTGAGGTAGAGGCTCACGATGGCGAGCGCGGGGGGCAGGAAGAGCAGGATGGCGGCAAACGCCAGGAAGCGCCGCGAGAGGAAGAGATCCAGCCTGGTGGGAAAGAAGAAGGGCAAGATCAGTCGGCATCGAATCGGGAAACCGCATCGGATCGGATCGTGCAGCGAATCGGGCCTTATCGGCACCAGGTCGGAGTCGCATCGGATCTGCATCACCAAACGCACAACAGCGCCATGCAAACATCGGCCCGCATCGGCTCGCCGGACAGCCGGAATCGAATCGGATCGGACTGGGCGAACTCGATATCGAATCGGACGTAAATTGACCCTGGCCCAGGGGAGAAAGAAGGGAGCCAGAAAGTCGGGCGTTGTTTTGTGGTCTGGCCCCTGTGCGTGGGACCCAGGAGCACGCATTTGCAGCATAGCTGCGCACTGAGCACTGGGCAATTCGGATGACAAGCTCGTGCCCCAATGTCTGGGACTCATCGACGACGCTGCTGGGGCACAGTTGTGCATCAAAGACGGTGCCCCATCCATCCTTCCTCTATATCTGCTTCCTAAGCTACCTAAGCAGCTTCGCACAGCGCGCCCCGCAATGCGCGACGCGTTGTCTCCTCGCGCCTTCGCGCCCTCGCGCGGCCCCCCCTGGATAAGGCGCGATGATCTTCGCGCCCCCGCGAGTGCCCTGGGCTACCCATCCGTCCCATAGTACGGCACTGCGGGACACCGCGGACTTTGAGACCGCTCGGAGGCAGAGTGCGTCTGTGACTGGGTGCGCCGCATCGGAGGCCTCACGGCACGTCAATCCCACACTGCCCCTCGTGCCACCGTTCCCGGCATTTTGACGCGGCGACTGTACCGATGCTGAGAAATCGGTGACGGACTCCACACATGCCGTGCTCCCACAGACCAGCAGCGGCGCAAAGAGAGGCAGCCATGGACCGTGCGATGACCCAGGCGGTGGTGGTGAAGACGACCACGCAGTGGCACGCGGGCCACCAGCCGTCCTGAGCATGATCTTCAAATAGTGGCTCCCCCCCTCCTTCTCTTCCCCCTCCTCGCTCGAGGGTCGAACTTGTTGGTGACATTTGTTTATCCTTTTTGCCCCTGGGGGCCTCTGGCGACCTCTGGAGCCATCTGGAGACCTCCGGACCACCAACACCTGCGCGCCCTTTCTCATCACCCGTCTTCCTCCCACCATCATCATCATCATCATCATCATCATCATCATCATCATCATCATCATCAGCAGCATCAGCATCAGCATCAGCATCAGCATCATCATCACCACCATCACCATCACCATCACCATCACCATCACCATCACCATCACCATCACCATCACCATCACCATCACCATCATCATCATCATCATCATCATCATCATCATCATCATCATCATCATCATCATCATCATCATCATCATCATCAACTGCATCGCGACCCGTCGGGCTGCACCTCCTCCCCGCTCGCGGTTGCTCTCCAAGAACCCTTGCTCGCCCCCCGGTGTCTGCTGCAGGCAGCTCGAGGAGCTTCCGAGCACTTAGCACCACGGCAGAGGTCAGACCAGGCAGGCTACAAAGGTCTTCGGCAGCCAGCGGGAAGCCAGGCACATGGTCCAGACTGTGTTCGGCTGGCCGTGTTCACAGTCGCGCTTGCACTCGTCCCCAACGAACAACACTTGACCCACCCTCCCACCGAGTCGGCAAGAAAATATGGCAAGAAGAAATTACACCGACATGCAGCATGCCTCACTCACCCGCACCCAGGTCAGACAAACAATCACTCCTGCGTTTCCTCCAGCTGGCCCAGACATGTGTAGCTGATTGCATGTAGGAGCTGGTTAGTCCTGCGGATGGGCGCAGAGCCTACCACTTCACCTGCGCCTGCACGTTCCATCCCGAGCACTCATCTTATGACGGTCGACCAGTCCCTGCACACAATGGCTCTGCACCTCATCGCAGTCGTCAGACAAACTTTCGATACGTTGCCCCATATACAGCTCACCGATAATCATAAATGAGCTCGTGTCAGTGATCCCGAATATCTCAGCTGCACGAAATGCTGCTCCCCCAACTACGCACATGCCTCTGCCACCAGTGAATGCACACGCCGCTCACACTCAACGATATGCGTTCGCCTGAGATCTCTCCCTGCCTTGCATGCGCAACGGCTGCAAGACGGCGCATCCTATCAATCCTGGTGTTCCTATTCCTGCTCCTCTACCTCCCCGACCCCCTCCCCGTCCTCCTCCTCTTCCTCCTCCTCATCCTCCCTCCCTCCTTCATCTTCCCCTTCCTTCTCCTCCTGATTCTCTTCATCCTCCTCATTCACCTGCACGGGGTCAAACCTGAGGATCCCAAAAGTGGTGACGGTTACAGGATCCCGATGACCCGCTCGGATTAATAACATGAGCTGCGGGCCAATGGGAGGGGGCTCCCGCCTGATCCGCCTCCTCCTCCTCCTCCTCCTCTTCCGCCCTACTCCTCCTCCTCCTCCTCCTCCTCCTCCTCCTCCTCCTCCTCCTCCTCCTGCTCATCTTTCTTCTCTTCCACATCATCATCATCATCATCATCATCATCATCATCATCATCATCATCATCATCAGCAGCAGCAGCAGCAGCATCATCATCAGCATCACCATCAGCAGCAGCAGCAGCATCGTCATCACCATCAACATCATCATCATGATCATCATCATCATCATCATCATCATCATCATCATCATCATCATCATCATCATCAACATCACCATCGTCATCATCATCAGTAGCAGCAGCATCATCATCACCCATCGCCATCATCATCACTGACAGCATCATCATCATCAGCAGCATCAGCATCAGCACCATCATCATCATCATCATCATCATCATCATCATCCTCATCATCATCATCATCATCACCATCGTCATCATCACACTCATCTCCACTATCATCATAATCACAATAATCATCATCAACATCATCAGCACCATCACCACCATCATCAGCATCATCATCATCAGCAGCATCATCAGCAGCAGCATCAGCAGCAACAGCGTCACCAGCATCATCAACATCATGAGCATCACCATCAGCATCAACATCGTCAGCATCAGCATCGTTATCATCATCGTTGTCCTCGTCATCATCATCATCATCAGCAGCATCATCATGATCATGATCATCATCAGCATCACCACCATCAGCATCATCATCAGCAGCATCATCATCAGCAGCAGCATCGTCATCACCGTCGACATCATCATTATCACCGTCGGCATCCTCATCGTAATCATCAGCATCGTCATCATCATCATCAGCATCAGCATCATTAGCATCATCATCACCATCAGAATCATCAGCAGCAGCATAGCATCATCATCCTCAGCATCATCCCTATCATCATCATCATCATCAGCATCATCATCAGAATCATAGATTCATCGTCATCTGCATCATCATCATCATCATCATCAGCAGCATCATCATCATCGTCGTCATCAGCATCATACTCATCAGCAGCAGCATCGTCATCCTCAGCAGCATCATTATCATCGCTGTCATTATCATCAGCATCATCATCGTCCATCTCACGTGCAGCGCCCTCCATAGCATACGCCGCCCTTCTTCTGTATCAATGACTTCTCCGAGTCGCACCCCGAAACGTATCGTCGCCGTCATCGTCATATCATCATCATCATCATCATCATCATCATCATCATCATCATCATCATCATCATCATCATTATCATCATCATCAGCCGCAGCAGCACCACCACCACCACCAACACCACCATCGTCATCATCATCACCACCACCACCATCATAATCATCATCATCATCATCATCATCATCATCATCATCATCATCATCATCATCATCAGCATCAGCATCATCATCGTCGTCAGCCTCATAATCATCATCATCATCACCATCATCATCAACATCATCAGCATCGTCGGCGTCATCGTCGTCCATCTCACGTGCGGTATCCTCCGTATCACCCCCCATCCCGTTTCGTTAACAATAACCTCTCCCTGCCGCACCCCGAGCCTTGTCGTTAGAGCGGGGCGTTTCGCCTGAGACTTCCTGACAAATTATAACCCTTATGCTTACCATCCCACCAGTCCTTCAGGGCGCAGGTGGTCTAACGCTCGCGTCCCATCTTCCAAAATTTCCATTCAGGGAGGGGTACCCCCCTCCCTGATGTTGTTGTTGGGGGGGAGGGGGGGGAAGCGGTGCTCCAAGCGGGCCCCCGATGCTGCAAGGTGGCCCCAAAGAAGGCTCAAGATAGCCGAAGATGGTTCAAGGTGGCGCACCAAGAGGACCGCAAGACGGCTCCAAGTGCTCTCGGAACCCCCTTGGGACTTCCCCAAGAAGCCAAAATCTGTCAAAAACCGACAGAACACCAATGAATGTAACCGTCTCGCCGTTTCGCCTCCGATGCTGTGCCGGGGCCTCAGATGGCCCGAAGATGGGCGAAGAGGGCCCCGAAACAGCCCAAGAGCGTCGCGAGGACGCCCCAAGAGGGCTCCAAGGCGCGACTTCCATGGCCCCAGGTGGAAGGATCGGGGTACCCCCCCCCCCCCCGCTCTCTTGATCGACGCCCTCCAAGATGGCTCCAAGAGGCCCTCCAGAGCTCCCAAGAGGCCCCCACTCAAAAGCCCCAAGACTCCCCGAAAGAGCCCCAAGAGGACCCCAAGACCCTCCAAAACAGCCCCCAAGAGGGCCCCAAGAGGGCCGCGAAAGATGCCAAGGACCCTGAGAGGGCCTCCAGTGAGCCCCAAGACGGCTGCCGGAGTCTTCGTTTTCCTCCTCCTCCTCCTCCTCCTCGTGCTTCTCCTCGTCCTCCTCCTCCTCCTCCTCCTCCTCCTCCTCCTCTCCTCCTCCTCCTCCTCCTCCTCCTCTCCTCCTCCTCCTCCCTCCTCCTCCTCCTCCTCTCCTCCTCCTCCTCCTCCTCCTCCTCCTCCTCCTCCTCCTCCTTCCCTCCTCCTCCCCCCCCGCCTCCTCCTCTCCTCCTCCTCCTCCTCCCTCCTCCTCCTCCTCCTCCTCCTCCTCCTCCTCCTCCTCCTCCCTCCTCCTCCTCCTCCTCCTCCTCCTCCTCCTCCTCCTCCTCCTCCTCCTCCTACTCCTACTACTACTCGTCCTCCTCGTCCTTTTCCTCCTCTTCCTCCTCCGCCTCCTCCTCCTCCTCCTCCTCCTCCGTAGCCAGTTTGGCTCAAACCATCTCGGGTCAGGAGGTCCAGTGGACCTCTCCTGCCCCGGCGGGGTGCGCGCGCACCGGGCGGGAGCGGGCTCGAGCTGGGGCACGTGGCTGCTCGTCCCCGCGGCTGGAGGGCTACGCTCTGCGCGGCGGAAGCTGCACTCCGCTGGTGGCGGTGGTGGTGGTAGCGTCACATGCGGGGAGTCCCCCTCGACGCCCAATGCTGTACTGCCTGGCTGTCAGGTTCGACAGCCTTCTCACGTGAGTAAGTGTCAGGATATGCAAATTATTAACAAAGTTATGCTGGAAATTTTCGCCGGGCAGGAGGAAGGAGGAGCAGGGGGGAGGAATCAGATCACGAAGAAATCAGTACATTTCGTTATGCTACATCATGGCGTTCATCCATTCGCGCCGGTGCGATTCCCAGTCCAATTTGTTCAATGCCACTTCTTGCCAATCGAGACCCTTCGCCCGGAAGTATTTGCTGAACATATACCCCCACGTCCCAGGCGGGGTTCGACCTTTGTGTCCTTGGTGCCGGAGAATATCTTGTGTGCTCCGTCGCCAATGCTCATCCCTGAAGCGCATAAAACCATATGGCAAGAATGCTGTATCTCTGTCGCCTCCCCGGACGACATGACCCACGTATCCGTAAATTCTGCGCAAAATGTGCTCGTCAACGCTCGGCAGCTTCATGAAAGACATGGCTTCCCGGAACGTCTTGGCCTGCCGTTTCGCATAGCTTGCGTCGGTTTCCCCCCAGCGCCGGGCAACCCGAAGGCGTGGCTTGACCTCGTTGTAGAAGCTGCCCCTTGCCGCTCCGAGTTGGACCTTTGTGACCCGCCATAACCCTGCGCTCCACGAGAATGCTGCAGTGAAGATCCTGTGCATCAGCCTGATTTTCCGATTTCTTGATACCCCTGCCGTCGACCACAGACTCCGATGCTTGCCCACCGCTGCACGCGCCAACACAAGCTTCTGTCGCATGTCAGCCGTCGTGGATCCGAATACATTGACTAACGTGCCCAGCATCTTGATGTGCTGATCCGGCCCCCGGCGGCTGTACAGTTCGATCATGGTCGCCAGCGCGCTCTCCACGACGTGCTCGTTCGCCTGGAACTCCACCTTGTCGTCCGGAAATATCCACCCCGCTGGCCGCAGGGCCTCCCGGACCAGCTGCACAATTCGTATGAAGTCTCCAGCGCTGTGGGCTAGAATCGCGCAGTTATCGCTGGACCACAGGAAGGGGACGCATTGACCTTCGAGGGCAAAGCCCAGCCGTTCCTCTTGGCATTGTTGCCAAACTGGCTGCAGAGCCGTGCTCAGGCATAATTTGCGCAACCTGGGTCCCAGCTTTCCGCCCTGGGGGAACCCGCGCTTCGGCGCCACCGGCGGCACGCTGAGTATTCCGAGCCGGGGAATATATACGGAATCGCGCAAGCAGCGAATGATATACGCAATCAGCGCGGGATGCGCGCCACGCTCCGTCAGGGCCCGGAACACATACTCATGGAAGACCTCATCGAATGCTTTGGGGATGTCACACACACCTATGATCAACGGAATAGCGAACTCTTGGCACCGCGCGCCGGCCAGGAAAAGGCACAGGAGCAAGTCGCATACCTGGACGCCACTTGTATATGCAAATTACCATTGCGACT